ACTAGTCAGGGAACAAGACGAACCGAACAGACAGACAGAAAACCCAGAACTTAAATACACACAAGACTACTCACACAACAAGACACAGGTGAGGAGGGAAGGAGAAAACACGGGGCCCCAGGTGAACATAATCAGACAATTAGAACACCAGGGAAACTAATGCAAGAAGGAAAAACACAGGGAAAAGGACCAGGCAATACCCAAAGTTAAAACATGACTGGAACCGCAAAAACACCAAACCTACAAAACTATAAACGTGAATACATGGAGAAATCGTGACAGGCATAGTCTTTCTAATGCCGGCTCCAAGGGCTTAAATGATGGGTGACCATCCATGAACGCGGGCCCCCCGACCAATGCACACGGTCTGGAGCTCGCTGGGGTCCCGCAAAACGCTTTAATCACACTTTGGTCCATTTTGCCCATCAGTTGATTAACGAAGTGGAGCGCGGCCACTGTTTCGCCCCTAAGAAGTGCTTTCCTAATGCCGCTCCGGGCTTAAATGATGGGTACCATCATGAAACGGGCCCCCCCCGACACAATGCAGCACGGTCTGGAGTCGCTGGGGTCCCGCAAACGCATTAATGCACACTTTGGTCCATTTTGCCCATCAGTTTGTTAAACGAAGTGACGCGGCCAACTGTTTCGCCCCTAAAAGTCTTTCTAATGCCGGCTCCCGGGCTTAAATGATGGGTACCGATCATGAACGGGCCCCCCGACACCAATTGCACACGGTCTGGAGCTCGCTGGGGTCCCGCAAACGCTTTTAATCACACTTGGTCCATTTTGCCCATCAGTTTGTTAACGAAGTGGACCGGCCACATGTTTCGCCCCTAAAGTGCTTTCTAATGGCCGGCTCCGGGCCTTAAATGATGGGTACCATCATGAACGGGCCCCCCGACACAATGCACACGGTCTGGAGCTCGCTGGGGTCCCGCAAACGCTTTAATCACACTTTGGTCCATTTTGCCCATCAAGTTTGTTAACGATAGTGACCGGCCCACTGTTATCGCCCCCTAAAAGTGCTTTCTAATGCCGGCTCCGGGCTTAAAGATGGGTACCCATCATGGAACCGGGCCCCCCGACAACAATGCACCCACGGTCTGGAGCTCGCTGCGGGTCCGCAAACGCTTTAATCACACTTTGGTCCATTTTCCCACATCAGTTTGTTTAACGAAGTGGACGCGGCCACTGTTTCGCCCCTAAGAGTGCTTTCTAGATGCCGCGCTCCGGGCTTAAATGTATGGGTACCATCATGAACCGGGCCCCCGACACAAGCAAGCGGTCTGGAGCTCGCTGGGGTCCGCAAACGCTTTAATCACACTTTGGTCCATTTTTTGCCCATCAAGTTTGTTTAACGAAGGTTGGCGCGGCACTGTTTCGCCCCTAAAGTGCTTTCTAATGCCGGCTCCGGGCTTAAATGATGGGTACATCATGAACCGGCCCCCGACACAATGCAACACGCGCTGGAGCTCGCTGGGGTCCCGCAAAGCTTTAATACCACTTTGGTCCATTTTGCCCATCAGTTGTTAACGAAGTGGAGCGCGGCCACTGGTTTCGCCCCTAAATGCTTTCTAATGCCGCTCACGGGCTTAAATGATGGTAGCCATCATGAAAACCGGGCCCCAGACACAATGCCGACGGTCTGGAGCTCGCTGGGGTCCCGCCAACGCTTTAATCACACTTTGGTCCATTTTGCCCATCAGTTTGTTAACGAAGTGGACGCGGCCACTGTTTCGCCCCTGAAATGCTTTTCTAATGCCGGCTCCGGTTAAATGATGGGTACCATCATGAACCGGGCCGCGACACAATGCCACACGGTCCTGGGAGCCGCTGGGGTCCCCGCAAACGCTTTAATCACACTTTGGTCCATCTTTGCCATCAGTTTTGTTAACGAGAGTGGACCGCGGGCCAGCTGTTTCGCGCCCTAAAAAAAGTGCTTTCCTAATGCCAGCTCCCGGGCTTAAATGATGGGTAACCATCATGAAACGGGCCCCCCGAAATGCAACACGTCTGGAGCTCGCCTGGGGTCCGCATAACGCTTAATCACACTTTGGTCCATTTTGGCCCATCAGTTTGCTTAACGAAAGTGGACCGCGGCCACTGTTTCGCCCCTAAAAAGTGCTTTCTAATGCCGGCTGGGCTTAAATGATGGGTTACATCAATGAACCGGGCCCCCGACACAATGCACAACGGTCTGGGAGCTGCTGGGCGTCCCCGCAAACGCTTTAATGCACGACTTTGCGTCCGGCATTTTCCCATCAGTTTGCTTAACGAAGTGGACCGCCCGGGCCACTGTTTCGCCCCCTAAAAAAGTGCTTTCTAATGCCGGCTTTTGCGTTTAAAATGATCGGCTGTTATCATTCACAAGGGTCCCTTAAACACCAATGTCAAGCCGGTCTGGAGGGCTCGGCTGGGTCCCGCAAACGCCTTTTAATCAGCACTTTTGGTCCCGCATTTGGCCCGCATCAGTTTGTTAACGAAGTGACGCGGCCACTGTTCGCCCCTAAAAGTGCTCTTTCCTAACTGCGCTTTGCGTTTAATATGATGGCTGTTTATCATTCACAGGGTCTTAACAACAAATGCACACGGTCTGGAGGCTTCGCTGGGGTCCGCGCAACGCTTTAATC